GAATTCCAAGTTGGAGACCAGCTTCGGCAACTTGATGAGGCCCTAAGCAACACAGCCAGACCCTGTCTCAAAATAAAAAATAAAAAGGGGATGTGGCTCAGTGGTTAGGTGTCCCTGGGTTCAATCCTCAGTACCAAAATAAATAAATATAAAAAGGGTTAGAGATGTAGCTCAGTGGTAAAGTGCCCAGAGTTCAATCCCTGGTACCAAATAAAGAATACCCAATATTTGTTAATTCTCTTTGTATCCAGAATATTCAAGAAGTCATTGCCTCCTACAGGGCAGATGATAATAGGAGAGACATGTGGAAACAGCCAATCTCTGAGGTGCTCAGAGCACCTGCAACCTTATCCGATCATTTGCCTGTTGCCTACATAATCTTGAGAAAGTCCACTAAGATAGACAACACCCTGAAGGAACCCTTAACTCAGACCCCCTAATTCAGGAAACTTTGCAGCTGTCACTCCTAGCTCCTTTTCAACACTAGGATATGGTGAGGAGAGCCAGCCTGAGGAACTCACTCCTTTGTACAGTTGCAGCCCCCAGTCCTACCCCCTCCTCTTAGCACACGTTCTTGTCAATCAACAGAAGAAACTTGTGATTCAGCAGGGCAAGAAAAGAGTAGAGACTAAAGCAGAGGGATGAACCTCACCCCAACCCCAGGACTTGGTCAGGGCAAGCAGAACTCGAGTGTGAAAAAGGCAAATGCTACGTTGCCAACAGCATCAAGGAAGCACACAGAAGCAGCTAGGTACAGGAGGGACAGTAGGATGGGCTAAGGACAGCAAAGCAGCCAGCTCCAAGAGGCTGCTTGAGGATTTGCATGTGCTCTACATACTGGTCTTGAGCCAGGTAAGTAGTCAGCACTAAGGAGGCCCAAGGTCATAGGAAGGGACCCCTCTTCCACCGGGCATCCTCTTCCTTCAAACATCTAACAGAGCTGGGGCATTGCTCTCCTGCATGGCCAAAGACAATGCCAAATCATTGCACAAGAGTCCTTATGCTATACCAAAAATGTATAAAGATAGCTCTCAAGAATTCACAAAATACAATGTGCAAGCATGAATTGGAAGAAGCAGAAGAGAAACAGGAGGGACAGAAAATGGAAACATTAGTAAGCCTAGTGGAAAAATAAATAACACTATATATTTAAGTCCCTCACTTGTATGTAATTTGACCATTTGCCCAATGCCCAACATTCTTAAAAATAAGAACAAAAATTTCAAGGGGAAGAAGGGAAGAGGAGGAGGCATGGGGGTAGGAAAAATGTGGAATGAGATAACATCATTAACCTAGGTACATGTATCATTGCACATGTAGTGCCACTCTACATTGTGTACAACCAGAAAAATGAAAAGTTGTGCTCCATTTGTATTGAATGAATCAAAATGCATTCTGCTGTCATGTATAACTCATTAGAACAAATTAAAAAAAAAAGATTTCCTGAGATGGCCAAGTGTGATGGCACGCTCCTGTAAATCCAACTGCTTGGGAGGCAGAGGCAGGAGGACTGCAAGTTTGAGGCCAGCTTAGGCAATTTAGCAAGACCCTATCTCAAAATAAAATTAAAAAGGTTAGGGAAGTAGCTCAGTAGTACAGCATTTAGCCAACGTGCATGGAGCCATGGGTTCAATGCCCAGTATGAAAAAAAAAAAAAGAATTGTTTTTAAAGAGGACATGTAACACTCCTTGACAACATTCTCAGGAGACACAACACATTTCCCCTGAAGCTTATCCCTAACAGAGAACCTAAAGTAGGCTTGGTAGGACACCAGGAACAAGAATTCCAGCCCCTCTCCCAAAGAAACACACCAAAGAGGGTCAAGTGCACACTAAGGGACGATCTGAATTGCCACTTACACCAATTCATATGTTGTGTGTAGGAGAAAAAAACGACACAAGCCATTTGAGGGACAGTATTTACTAAAATGGAGTAATAATAGCCATAAGTTAGAAACAATTCAAATGCCCATCACTAGGTGAATGGATAAGCAAACTGTGGAACATTCATACAATGGAATAGTACTTGGCAATAAATATGAACAAAAAAACGATGCTGGGCCCAAAGTGCATGCCTGGAATCCCAACAATTCTAGAGGCTGAGGCAGGAGGACAGGAAGTTCAAGGACAGACTCAAAAACTTAGCAAGACCCTGTCTCAAAACAAAGTAAAAGAGGTTGTTCAGTGGCAGAGCACTTGCCTAGCATGTGTGAGGCCCTGGGTTCAATCCCCAGTACAAAAAAAAATGTTGCCAGACGCAGTGGCACACACATGTAATCCCTGCAACTCAGGACTGTCTCAAAATAAAAAATAGAAAGTGCTAGGGATGTGGTTCAGCAGGTAACGGAAGCGGGGAATGTGCCAGAAACAGCTCCGTGCTAGAGCACCCCTGGGTTCAATAGTACTGCACAAAAAACTGCTGATTATACACAAAAACACAAATGAATCTCAGAGACATTATGTTGGGTAAAAGAAAACAAACAAAAAGCATGGTTTATATAAAGTTTTAAAATAGACAAAATTAATACATGTTGACAGAAATTATAATCATCTTGACATCCCACTATACCTACCAGAATGCCTGAAGTCACTGTCGTGATCTGACAACGCTAAGTGCGGGTGAGGATACCAACCCACTAGAACCCTCCTACGTTGCAGGTGTACGCAGAAAACCGGCGGACGGCGCTAAAGCCAGTCACGTGGCTTCTGTACGGACAGCACGAATGTCCGCCCCGGAGGGAGCCAGGTGAAGTTGCGCAGGACCACCCCCCCCCCCGTACGTGGTTAATCACTTCAAAGTACGAAATGTTTAAAAGAAAAGGCATTTGCGACACAGTGGCAGGAAGAAGGCACGAGAGGGCTTCTAGGGCTTTGATGGGACTCTCGCTACTGTCGTGTGTGTGTCCGGTTTGTGAAAATTCGTAAGCGTCCAACTCTGAACACGGTACACAGTTCACCCTCAGGGACGCTTTTAAACAGGTGCTGGGGCTCGGGGGTAGGGCGTCCTGAGCATGCGCCAGGCGCTGGGTCCAATCCCCAGCACACCAAAAAAAAAAAAAATTGGGTGCTGCTCAAAGTTGCACTGTTCACGTCACTCCCACCCCAGCTCCCCTGCCCGAAGGCCTAAAACCCGCGCTTCCCGGCGCAACACGGTGGCCCGCGTCCTCTCCGCGTCGGCCGCAGCCACGCCCGCACTCCAGGAAAGGGAAGGCGCCCCGACGGCTACGTTCGGACTCTCGCCACCCGTCGAGGTAACCGCGCCGGATACTTCTGACGAACTAGGTGCCTTATGAAAACCGTGTCACCTGTTTCTTGACTGTTTTACGGTGACTTCCGGAAAACTCTGTCACACGTGAGAAAGCGCGCCCGCTGCCCGGAAACACCCTTGGGCGCAAGAAGCTGGGATACAGCGCGCTTGGTGCTCCCGGGCGTCCACTGGCCGGACTTGCGTGAGAGCACCGGCGCCGGGCGCGGGGGCGGGGCCAAAAGAGCGTGCTGGCAGGAACGCGCTCAGGAAACCCCGCTCCGGCGTCAAAGGCGTGCGCGTTGGCGGGGTCGGGGAGGAGCTATTCCGGGAAAGGGCGGGGCCTCAACCGCGCCCTCGACTTCCGTTGCCTGCTGGGACGCGCGGCGACTGGTCGGGGAGGAATTTCATTGACCCCGCCCCAAGCCCCGCCTCCTGCCTATGGAGCGGCCCACAGGGACCGGAAGGAGGCGGAGCCTCCGTCCTGGCCCGGTCCGGGCATCCTGGGCCCACAGCGCCCTCTGTTGGTCCTCTCAGGAGCTGCGTGGACCCATTGGGCCTGCTGCCTCACACCTGGCTGGAAAAGGTCTCTCCACCAGCCTTAGGAAGGGGCGTGCCCGCCCAGGTCCCAGCTAAGCCCCATCCCTCAGGGGCGCTCCTACTTCATATAAACTAGGCTGAATACAGTCAAAAAGAGTGCAGGAAGCCAGGCTCAAAAGCCTACATACTGTATATTTCTCTTTATATGTCATTTTTGGAAAAGACAAAACTGTACCAGTAGAGACTAGATCAGAGGGGGTGCCCCGCTGTGTTGGTCAGAGGGGCCTGGGGGGGGCCTGGGGGAACCCTGGGGATGAGCGACCAATCCACATCTTGATGACGGTCACCCAACTGAACGCCACTTGTCAGAACTCGCAAAACCAAAACCTAAAATGTTAATTTTACCGAATGTAATTATACTTTTAATTTTTTTTTTTTAACTAAAACGAAGCTGGGAGCAGTAGCGCACGCCTATAATCCCAGCTCTCTGGGAGGTTGAGGCAGGACAGCAAGTGGGAGGCTAACCTGAGCAATTTAGGAGACCCTGTCTCAAAACACAAATAAACAAGGTTACAGATGTATCTTTATGTATCTTATGGTAATGCCCCTGCGTTTAAGCCTCAGCACCACAAAACTAAAAATCTTGAGACTGGTGCTGCAGGGGCCGGGAGGAGAGGGAATGGGAAGTGACCGCTTAACAGATAATGGATTACTTCTGGAGTTTTGGAGTTTGGGAACTTGGTAGGTTGTGTAACGTTGTCAATACATAAAGCCCTTGGGATATCATTACCTCTAATTTCAAAAAGGAAACAGACTTAGAGGAGGTGGCTTGTCTGAGGCAGAACGCTAGTACTGGCAGACCAAGGCTAGGATCTGGGCACACACCACACCATAAGAGCATGTTCCATTCCCTTCTACAGATGAAGAGACTGCGGTTCAATGGAATTACACAAGCCTAGGAAGTAGGACCCCTGAACACCCGTGTTCTTCTCCAGAAGTTAGGAAACTGTGGCTCATTTGCTCTTTCCCCTTACCCGCAACACCACCCTCCATCTTTGCAGAATACCCAGGGAATATGGGGATCCCAATTTCTCATCACAACCCACACGCAATGTGGGTATTATGTTCCAGTCCCCTCTGGAGTTGGGGGTCCTACTACTGGTCAGGTAGCCTTGTCTAGGTCCTCAAGACAGTGCACCCCAAGAGACACAGAATCTAAAAAACAAAGTACAAACTTTATTTGTTTCTTTACAAAGGCACAGTGGCCTCTTGGTTTTCCCCCCACTTTTTAACAAAATATAATAGCTTCTCCTTGGACACAAAAACCTCAAAATTGTTTAAAACAAAAACAAAAACAAAACCTAAACCAAAATAAAACCAACAACAAACAAAACAAAGAGAGAGAGACAAAGACATTCTGGGGTTGAGGATGGGACCTGGAGGGAGAGGTGGGCTGGGGGATGGAGAGTCCTGGTGCTGAGATGGGGAGGGGGAAGGGAGAAGGGCAGCAGCAAACCCCAACCAAGAAGCAACACAGACCCCCGGGCCCCCAGAAAGCCCGACCCAGTCTGACCCCCAACCCATGTAAGTGCTTAAGGAAGAAATATGAAAACCAAACAGAGGGAAGGATTGAGACTGACAGGCTCTGGGGAGGGAGGAAATACCTTGGGGTTTCGTTTGATTTTCCCTGTTCTTAAAAACACGTTCAAATGAAAAAATGTTTTTTGGCGGAGAGAGGCCAGGCACCTCAGTGTCAGCGTCCCCCAGCCCCCAGGGCCGAGGCCCAACCCTGGGGTCCCAATGCTCCCACACGCTCTGCACCACCCCAGCCCCGGGACCTTGGCTTGGGTGGCGTCATTCAAAGGTTGATTTACAGTATTGAAAAAAGAGGTCATAAAAGAGACCCAAATGACATCATAATTTTGTAAAAATTTCTCACTCATTCACCCACATTTCTCCCTGTTGCTGCCCCGGCCCCCTCCAGCCCCCACAAGGGAGAGGAGGGCTGGGGGTGGTCAGGGAAGCTCCCCATCCCCTAACGGCTCCTCCCGGCTCTGGTCCATGGCATCACTGTCTGAGGCCTCCGAATCGGAGGCTGTGTCGGAGGTATGGGCCTCCGGGCAGCTGCGGACTGGCTTCACAATGACCGCTCGCCGCTGCTCCTCCTCCAGCTCCTGCTTCTCCTGGGTGCCCTCGATGTGCTGGATTGCCTGTGCAGAAACAGGCCACTGAAGAAGCTCTGCTGGAGATGCCAGCCAGCCAGGAGACAAGGGCGACCTCAGCCAGCCATGACCTCCCCCAAAACACATACCCCAGAACTGTCCAGAAATAAACCTGGCAGAGGGGAGTGCTGCCAGAGTCCAGGAGGAACAAACTTTAGAAACCCCCACCTCCGTTAAGTTGAAGAACCCCTTCCCAGAACCCATAGTCCCAGTGCTGCCCAGAAATGAGCATCTCTCACATATTTATGCATTCTAAAGTCTGCCTGCTAGCTCATTAAAGGCCTTTGGTACTATTGCATTATTCAGTGTGCTGGGTTTATGGGCAACTAAAGGTCTGGGGGGACAGAAGGGTTTTTTCCTGTTTGGGCTTTTTTAGATTATTTCATTATTAATTAACTAATTTCCTTATGCTGCCCACAGACTTATAAAAGGTGTGAGGACAACCCACCCAGCCATTGCCACCTCCACCTCTATCCCAAGTTCTGGGAAATGGAGGTGAGACAAAGTTCTGGATCAACTCAAAAACTGCAGGAGCTTGGTAACCAGGAGGCTCTGAGCTTAAAGGAGCCTCTCAGCAAAACCCATGACAAGGAAAAGAACACAGTTCTTTTGCCCGGCCACTCTCTAGTTCTCTGTCCCCAGAGACACAGGGAGGAGACCTCCCCAGGGGCATCCAGACTTCACCCAACCCAAGGCCCTCTGGCTCCTCTTCCATTTTTTCTAACTCCCCTAAAAAGTCTCTTCCCAGAGTCCCCCCCACAAGCTGCCCCTTCCCCAAGCCCAAGTACCTGCACAATGGTGTCCAGATTTTGCCGGGAAGTGGACACAGAGTTGATGACTGAGGAGGGGCCCATGGTGACAACATTGATGTGGTGGGAGTGGGGGGGGGCTGGTGCTGGCACAATCACTGTGGGGTGGTGCGTAGGGGCCGGAGGGGGCAAGAGCTGCAAAACAGAAGCCCTCAGTCTCTCCAAAGGCCCTTCCAGCCCATCACCCTCCCTTACTCATGGGGGATCCTGTAGTTTGGGTCTTATTTGCCACCCTCCCCAAGATCTATGTGGTCCCTGGCGTGGCACTATGGCAAGGTGGTGTGGGCTCTAGTGGGGGTCTATAAGTTACTGGGTGTGGGGGGGATGCCCTTGAAGAAGATAGTGGAACCCCAGGGCAGTTTTCAGGGGGCCCCTCCCAGAGCCTCCTGCTCACCTGGGTCCGCAGGTGCTGCTGTTCCCGCTCCAACTTCTCCTGGTGCAGCAGCCGCACCTGCTCCTGCTGCTGCTGCAGCTGCACCTGCTGGGCGATCACCTTGAGCTTTTCCGGGTACATGTGGGCCTCAAGCGAGCGCACCTGCAGGTGGAGCGCACAGCAGTCAAGAGCAGGCCAAACCAGCAGCAAAGCAAGCCATTCACTAAACCCTCAAGCCCAAGCACAGAGCATGCCCCAACCCAAAATCCTGGCCCTCCTCAGCGTGAGGACCAAAGTCCTCACCAGAGCCCCACCAGGCCTCTTCCCCCTCCAGCCCTTGGGCCTTCCCTCCACCTGGAGCACCCTTCTCCTTTCTGTGTCTGGTTAGCTGGTTTCCATGTAGAACCGGGGAGTACCCCTGGAGAAGTAGGTCAATCCCCTCCTGATGGCACAGCTCTTCTCTCTTTTTTTTTTTTTTGGTTTTGGTTTTGGCGCTGGGTCTGAACCCAGAGCTTTATATGCTAAACACATGTGCTGTCACTGATCTATACCCCAGCCCTCGGTTCCAGACTATGACTGATTCCCCTCGCCCCCACGCAAAAGGTGGCTCTGGAGGGTAGGGCCCTGTCTGGCTGTTCTCCATTCCTAAGACTGGCACAAAGCAGGTGCGCCCGTAAATACCTGCTAAACGGAAGGCGCCAGGGCAGAAGAGACCACAGAATCCATTCTCCGCGCCCGCGGCACCGCGCCCGGCCGGCAGAGGGCACTGCCTCACCTGCTCCTCCAGCATCATGCGCACGGAGCGCTCCTTGTCCAGCTGCTGCCGCAGCTCAATCATCTCCCGCCGCAGGTCCTCCGCCTTCTCATCCTCCCAGATGTCCGGGGAGCCAATGCCCTCGTCCTTGTCCTCTGCCCGCCGCCGCTTCGGAGATGAGCCACTCAGCTCCTAGGGACCCCAAGGGGTTGGTGAGTGTGCTGACACCCCCATACCACGAACACCACCATGGAGATGGGCTCCACTGCAAACCCCATGGAGCTGCCCAACAGAGATGGACCCACCTAGGGAGCCCATTTTGCAAATCCAACAAACTGGCCAAATGCCTTCCAGAGTCCACTCCACCACACAAAAAAGGAAACTGAGGCCCTGGCAGGAAGGCAAGTGTGTGAAGTAGGCAGGTTGGTGGACAAGATGGGACCTGCTGCTGCATCTGCATCCCAGGCCAGTGGTTGGGTCCAGGCCTGCCCATGCTGAGGTGAGGGAGCCAGGAGGAGGGTGCTGAGAAAAGGAGGCCCCCTCTGGGTACCTGAATGAAGCGCTTGAGCTGTGTGTTCTGCTGCAGGAGCCTGGTCTTCTCCTGCTCCAGGGAGAAGATGTACTCTGCTGTCTGCTGGAGAATAGCTGCCTGAAGGCAAGAAGGAACAAAGTCGCTGTGGTATTTGCCCAAGCCCACTTCCCTTCCCAACCACAGCCTGCACTGACTCCAGGAAGCCCTCCCTGCTCACCTTGCTGAGCTTCTCTCCATCTGTGTGGGGGATGAGGGTCTTGAGGGACTGGAAGCCTGCGTTGATGCTCTGCATGCGCCTCCGTTCGTTGCTGTTGGCAATCTCTCGCCGAATTCGCCGCTCCTGGTCCCGCTGGGTCTCGGGGGTCAGTGGAATGTTGGCAAGGCTGCAAGGAAGGACGGGGCAGGTTCAGGCTAGGTACAGTATGAACCCCACCCCCAGTGGACCTATCTTCAAATTCATCTCCTGAGGGCCCTGGGTGTAACCTGCATCTCTGCCCTGCTGCAAAAAGAGGCCAGATCACACAGATGCCTACACCCCAGCAGATCACCTAAGATGACAGAGAGGTGCTCCCTGGACAGCTGGCTTCAGGCAAGGGCAGCCTGCTCCAAACCTAACCCTTCCCTGGCTTCCTTCCTGGAAAGAGGTATCCTCCAGATCAGAGGCTCCCAGACACGTCTGGGTATCAGAAACACCCAGGAATCTGGGTGAGGTAGCACACACCTGTAATCCCAGCTATTCCAGAGGCTGAGGCAAGAAGATCACAAGCTTGAGGCCAGCCAAGGCAACTTAGCCAGATGCTGTCTCAAAATCAAATTTTAAAAAAGGGCTACGTAGGGATGTAGCTCAATGGTAGAGTGCTCGCCAAGCCCTATGCTCGAGCAGCAACACACACACACACACACACACACACACACACACTACTACACAGGAGTTTATATACTACAGACCCCCAGATGCTGGCTCCAGTATCTAGCAAGGTCTGGGTGAGGCCCTGTAGCCTCCATGGCTGTTCCCTGTGATTGTGAGCAGGTGGACCCCAGGCCACAATCAGAGACACTGCTGGGACATGTCTGAGCTCCAGGCCGTGCATCTGGACCATCTCCTACAGACTCAGCCTTTGCCACCCCAGGACTGAGAAAATGTTCCTCCTCCTCCCTTCCTACCCCTATAGCCGTGTCTCCAGCTACACTCCCCTAGCACCCCAGTCCAGCCCCAGCCCCGCAGACTAAGACTTCACAAAAGATAAGATGGGTACCACTCATTCCACAGAGGGGACACCAAGCCAACAATCCCTAGGACAGTTCTCCGCAGAGCCCACCTACTCCAAAAGGCAGGCCCACTCTGTGCCAGAGAAGTGAGACTCCCCGCAGGCTGTGGGCGACGTTACTGCCTGGTGCAGGAGCAGTAGCCAGTGGGGTGAGAGAGAAGGCAGCCAGGAAGGGGGCGAGGCTGCGGGCACTAGAGGAGGCAAGGCAGCAGGGGAGCCTGTGGGCCTGCACCACTGCTCCCGAGGGGTGGGCCTGTGTGTGGCCTGGAGGAGGCATGCCCCACTTCCCGGCCCTCCCCTGCAACTCCCCCACCCCGCCCCAGCCTGATGGCTTCCAGATGCTGGGCTCCTAGCAGAGGCCGCCAGCCCCACCCAAAGCCACAGCCTGGCCTCTTCCTGAGGGGCCCTCCCAGGGTGACCTGTTTCAGGTCTTAGCCAAGGAAGCTTGTGCTCCTGGGACGGGGGAATAGGGAAAGGTCTCTGTGGAGCACTCATCAAGGTCAAGGAGGAGCCTGGTCTAACTCCTTTGCTGTGACTTGGTCTCTGTCCTTATCCCCAAAAGAAAAGGAGCTACACAGCAGCCCAGGGGAGAACACAGAGGAACAGATGGAAACAGTCAAGGCCTGTTCTGCCCCACCCAACCTGCCCCTTTTGTCCCACCTCAGCTCCCTGAGGGCCTCTGGACACATCCCTCCCCTTCCTAGGCCTCAGCTTCCTCTCCCAACAGAGGGTGGCCAGCTAGGAGTTAGCTCCCCATCAGCTGCTGTTGGGTCTGGAGGCAAATCAGCCCCTTCCTGCTTCACCAAGCCAAGGCCCCCCACCCACCCACATCAATGCCCAAAGGCCAGGGCTGGGACCCACCCAGAGCCCCAGGGTGCAGACCCTTCACAGGGCCTGGGAATGTCTGCACTAGGAAGGGAACCACATCCCTCCCTTTACAGATGACGTTCCCCTTCACTCAGGGTCCAGAGTCTGGAAAGCCACAGTTTTAGATCAGACAGCTGAACATCCATCTCCCTGTCTTCAGGCCAAGGTGCCTCCCTTTTTCACAATTTTCTGCCCCATAATGGGAGTGACAGGGTGTCTGCAAAAAGAAAAAGAGCAGGGCAGAAGCTGAGGCTCAAGTGCCCTCAGAGCCTGGCCCCTGGAGGGCTTAGAATAGAGGAATGAGTAAAATATGTTCTGTATTCTTCATGTAATGTGCTGGACACACTTTGCTAGCATTTCTTCATTGAATTGTCACAGTCTTCCTGAGTCAGGTGGCCTGATGGTTCCCATATAAAGAGGAAGACACAGAGTCTTGGAAAGGGACAAGTTACTGCAAGTGGTGGAGCTGGGACCCAAGCAGGTAAGGAGCTATGGGGCAGAACAGGCTCTGCATTATCCCCACTGACCAACAGGGAGCAGTCATCCATGTAGAGGGCTACGCGCTGGATATGCCCACGATCAAATAGCCAGACCAAGGCACAGCAGGCTCCTGCAGACACCCCACCAGCTGCTGGTGCCCTCTATGGACTGTTCACACCCAGCCCAGGGCAGCTCAGCAAAAGGGGTGTAGCTGCAAGAACAGTGCTTGTGTTCCTGCCCTCCCCCAATGAGGGGCCAGGCCCACAAGAAGTGACTTGCCTAAGGTCGCACCTGGCAGAGGATGAAGCAGGGTGCAGTGGAATGTATGTTCCTGTGACTCCTTGCCCAAGTCTCACCATGACCCTCAGCCTCTCTATGCTACCCCCGCAGGATGCCTCCTAACTGGGGAGCTCAAAGGAACCCATGGAGCCCTGGTCCTGAAAGGCCCAACCCCAAAATTCCAGAAGGAAGAGACCCTGAGAGCCATGGCCCATGTCAGCCCCTCCTCTGCACCAGAAGCTACCAGCCCAGCTCTTCCGAATGTCCCATCCTGCCCACTCCCTCCAAACCCATCAGTCCAGCCCCGACTTGGGAACCAGCTGCTTAACTCCAAGAAAAGAGACTTCCCCTCAGCTACGGCTCTTCATGTAGACCTGAATTTGCCACCAAGACTCTCAATTATAACTCATCTGAACAGCACCACAAGTACCAGCTTAGAACTGTTTAATGGACTACTTGCTAACCAGAAGTTCTGATTCGTGGAGTGTTATCTAACCAGGAATGCTGACTGGTGGAATGATGACCAATCAGGGCTTCTAAATACTGACCAACTCAAGGTTCCTACTGATGAAAGATAGTTAACTGTCATTTCCAGGAGATATGCACTGCATAAAGTGGATCTTCCTACAACTACCTGAAAGTTCCTTACAGCTTTTTCTGTGTGTTGCAGAAGTAAACTCCATTCACAGTAACCAACCATATGGTAAAAGTCCCACTACCGGGTAGGGTTGAGGCTCAGGGGCAGAGCGCTTGCCCAGCATGTGTGAAGCACTGGGTTCGATCCTCAGCACCCACATATAAATAAATAAATAATAAAAGTACATCAACAGCTAAAAAATATATTTAAAAAAAAAGTCCCACTACCCTCCCCAACTTCTACTCCTCCAGGTGGGCAGAGAAGGGACTAGAGGCCACTGGCAGCAGGTAGCTCTGGCTTCTTCTCCCCCTCACCTCACTGTCCTCTGACAGCCAGTCTGCTGGGGCTGACCAGGGCCTGCTTAGCTTCAGGAATAAGGCAGGACACTGGGCAGCCAAAGAGTCAAGGTGTAAAATTTGGGCAGCAGGCTTGGGTGTCAAGGGCAGGGCTGCTATCCCTCCTACAACAGTATCCTTAGAAATCTGGGAAGACGGGCAGCAACCCAAACAGATGTTCAGGGACAATGGTATACTCTGCACACCTAGATTCCTGACCAGTACGTGCTCCTCCTGCCCAGCCTAAGACCAAGTGTCTCCTATCCCCTCAACCTGACTGCCCAGTTCCTACCTCCAACTGGTCACTGAAAACTCTCATTTCACAATCCCCTCAACTCATACATCCCAGAGTCACTTAAACATCCACACAAAGGTGAGGAAGTCCACACAAAAAACAGGAAGCGGGGAGAACCTGCCCACCAAGGATGCCCAGGGCACTCTTACTTCTCTGTCCCACTGCCTCTAGCCATACACCCCTCTCCAACCTACCACAGCCAGTCCGCCATCCTCCTGGGTTCCAGAACACAGGATGCCCAAGCTGCTCCAGGCAGACATTCTGCCCCCACCTCACCTCCCTCCAGCTCCTCCAGCCCATCAGAGGGAACCCTGCATTGGGTTCAAGTGTCAACTTCAGCCTAGCCACCTGCTGGCTGTGGAACCACAAGCTGTGCCACTGTGTCTCTCATACAGCCTCTGTCTCCCCCACCTGTAAAACGTGGAAATACTGCCTCATTTCACAAGGTCATGGTAAAATGTAAACGAGAGAGAGCTGGGCATGGTGGCACACGCCTGGAATACCAGCAACTGGCGAGGCTGGGGCAGGAGGATCGCCAAGTTCAAAGCCAGCCTCAGCAACTCAGAGAGGCCCTCAGCAATTTAGCAAGACCCTGTCTCAAAAAATAAAAAGGGCTGGGGATGTGGCTCAGTGGTTAGGCACCCAATCCCCAGTACCAAAAAAAAGAAAGAAGATAGAGAGAAGTATGGTGGCAGACACCTGTAATCTCAGCAACTCAGGAGGCTGAGGCAGAAGAATTGCAGGTAACTTAGCAAGACCTTTCTCAAGAGATCAGGGTGCTGATCAGTGGTAGACCCCTGGGTTCAATCCCCAGAATGAATGAATAAATAAATAAATGAGAGAGAACATAATAGGAGGATAATAGGATTCCCTGTTTCCCAGGGTTTGCACCCAGGTGTCCAGAACACCCTGTGGCTCTCTCAGGGGCCGAAAGGACCCTTTAGCACCAGTGGTCAGGTCTTATTCACTGCTGTATCCTCAGTTCCAGCATCTAGCTGGTGTTTCTACATATAGGATCAGGGACTCCATAATCCAAAGCCTTTAATTTTCTCTAACTCCCCGCCCCTCCTCTTTTTTTTTTAATTAGGAGCATTTACTTTGTTTATTTATTTATTTTTACATGGTGCTGAGGATTGAAGCCAGTGCCTCACACATGCTAGGCAAGTGCTCTGCCACCAAGCCACAACCCCAGCCTTCTAACTCCCTTTTTACCAGCACTTTTTTAAAGAGCTTACAAAGATAAGGCCACCTGCTCTTCAGAGTCTGAATGACACTTTAACAGCTTCCAGACACTTTCTCAGAGGTGTTCCCTTTTTCCAAGGCTAAGGACCATTAGACAACAGGTCCAAAACCTCCAGGCAGCACTGTACCCTACAACCCTCTCTCTCCCCGTTTGGCCTGGGAGACAGAGGAGAGGGGCAGGGAAGGCTCAGCTAGACAGAGATGAAGTGAAGTCCTCCAGCCTGAGACAACCCAGAGAATCAAATTCACCCAGCCAGAAGGTCAGTATTCCCATGTCACCCTGTGGCCCCAGGTGAAAATGAACAAACCTTAGAGGCCTTGACTCTTGGCCCAGTGCACAGCTGGTAACTGCCTAGAAGAGGGTCAGGCTGAGGACTTGTGCACCAGGAGGCAGGCCCTGCTACCTCAAGCACTGGGTCTGCCAAGGCTAATACCTCCTAGTGGTCTGCTGGCCTCCTTCAAAGGGAGACTTGGGACAGAGATGGAGTGAAGCCAGAATCTTAATAGGCCCCAGAAGTCTCAACCAAAGCCCAAGCATGGCAGTCAGAGGGTCTCACTGCCCAAGACTGCACAGATCAGAGGCCAAAGGAGTCCTCTCAATAGTTTGGAATTCAATCTCACCTCCACTGCCCAGCCCAGCTACCAATAGCAAGTGGAAGGGCAGGCCTCTGGGATGGTGTTGCAGACCCACCTCCACCACTTGGTCTAGCCAGCCTCCGTGTTCTCATCTTTACAAAGGAATCAGAAGACAAGGAGTCTCAGAGGAAGACTATGACAACTCAATGAGAAAACCCTAGTAAAGCGACTTATTACTGCTGGACCTTTTCTAAGGCCACCCTTCAAGGAGGCCCTGCCAGCTACCAGACCCATTAACTGGTATTGACTGTGAACTTGAGAAAGATGGGAGGCCTGAGGCGGGATGTGTGCCTGTGCAGTGGAGTCCACCGGCCTGGGATACACCATGTGGGCTCCTCCTCCCTAACACCCCGCCCCGCCTGCCCGGGGCGGCAGAGCACGTGGCTCCAGCTTTGGGGAGCCATTTCGCTTCTGGAGCAGCACGGCAAGAAAAAGACTACAGGTCCCAAACTTGTGCGCACTGGAGAAACTCCCCATCTCTGCGCGCACCCCTGGCTGGCCACTCGGGGTCCACAATAAGCAGATGCCCGGGCCCTGCCATCAGAGTTACAGGCTTGTGCATTCTAACGTATCCAGGGCGATTCCACTACTAGTGGCCAGCGAATCCATCACCCTTGGTAAAGGATAGATCTGGGGCAAGCCAGAGCCAAGCTTGCAAAGCGGCTTCTATGGAAGGCTGAGGACCCTGGGCCATCCACTCGGCTGTGACCAGACGAGCGATTTCGGTTTACCGCTGAGGGAAGGATCCTGGGATGGGAAAGTTCACGTGCGGAGAGGGGCGGCCTTGCGCAGCCAAGGCCACCCTCAGGTGCCGCGTACCTAAAAGGCCTCCCCACCTGGCCTGTCTCGCCCCTACTGTAAGCAGAGGCTGAGCTTTGTGCGGGGAAAGCGTGGCCTGAGAGTGCCTACAAGTCCCACAATGCCGCAACAGCCGCGCGCGGAGAACTACAGCTCCCGCGAGGCCACGCGCGCACAGGCCCGCCTACTCCAAGAGGGCTGCAGAGTCACGTCCAGGCCTCGCTAGTAAACAGCGCCCGGGCGCGGGCGGGCAAGCGAGCGACCCAGCAGTAACCAAGATGTCCAGGGCCGCGGCGCTCCAGCCCGCCGCGCTGCCCCTCTGGGCCCGCCCATCCCCGCAGCCCTACACAAGCATGCCCCCGACCCCGAAGCAACTCCGCTCTCTGCAAACACGCACACTACCCGGCTCCCCGCCCCCCCCCGCGTCCGGATCCGCGGCATGGCTGCATTGTAGCTGCCCTCGCCGGGGCTCCACGCGCGCCTGGGACCCCTCCAGTTCCCTTGGAGGGGGGCTCTGAGAGCACAAGGAAGCAGGGAAAGGAAGGAAGCAGCCGCGAGAAGGGGGGAGGAAGCGAGGGGGTAAAGACACCAGCACCAAGCATGGCCGGGACTGCTGCAGAACCACGTGGGTCTGTTTGCAATTTACAAACGTCGCGACTCGCCCGCCTGCAGCGGACAAAAGTGGCTGGGGCCGCCCGGGGTCCCCACGTTCTGAGAAAGGAAGGTCCCCAGGCGGCTCAAGCCCACGGCACGGGGCTGCAGCCACCCCGGTGGCTAAGAAAGAAGAGCAGGGTCGGCAGCGCGGGCCATGCGTGCGCACACGCGCGCCCGCCCGGGCGGGCTGGCCAGGGGCTGCAATGGTAGGAAGGGGTGGGGGTAGGAGGAGTACACACCTACAGAGTCCTCCTATCACTTCTTTCTCTGTTTTCCTGAAATGTTGCAAAGAGGGCACCTTCTGAGTGGGCACCATGAAATACTCCATAGCGATCGGCCCCCCTCCTCTGCACGAGCTGGGTCCCGCGGTCCGCCGGAGAATGCAAGATGGAAATCCGAATCAAAGGGCAGCGCCGGACGGAGGTGCAGAATCGGCCGGTCCCAGATGCTGGCGGCGGCGGCGGCGGCAGCGAGGGGAGGGAGGCGGGCGGGAGGGGCGGGAGGGAGGTCTCTCCGGCCTGCCTCCCCGGGCGTGTGTATGTGTGTGTGTGTTTGCAGCTGATCAGATGTCTGTTTCAAGGCGGGAAACAGCTGGTGAAAACTCAGCACTCCCCCGGCCTCCTTCCGCGGAGTAAGGAATTGCATGTAAACAAAGGACTATTTGCAGAGTCCCCCGGGCGGCGCAAGGCCGAGGCGAGAGGGGCATGGGCCCCGGGGGGCCGCCTGCAACCAGTGTCTGCAGACCTCCCCGAAGGTGCAGGGGGCCCAGGGCTGCGGACCGGCTGGGGAAACGCGGCGTGAATTGAGCGAGCTGCGGCCCAGCTACATGCGCCACTATGGGTGATGAGGTCCATCAGCTGACAGGTTGGCAAGCATTGCAAAAAAAAAAAAAAAAAAAAAAGGCCGGCCGCGGTGAGGGAGCCCAGTCTTTGCCGCTCGGGGTCCGCTGGGGACTGCCCAATGCAGGGTCTACGCTCACCAGGGCCCTGGGTCGGAGATGGGGGACGCGATTGGGTTCCGCTTGCAGCGGCAGCGGGAAGGCGGCCTGGGATGCGTGCTTGGGCTTTCGCTTTTTCACGATTGCAACTACACGGAGTGGAGCCACTCTGGCGCGCTCTCTCCGAGCCGACCCAGGGCCCCCTGGAAACTTGCGTCACAGCCACCTCTTCCCACTTGTAACTTGGGGCTGACTCAGGAGGCCGACCAGCCTCCCCCCTCCGTCCCTGCCCTGCTGGCTGCCCGGACAGCTCCAGAGCCTAGGAATCCCGGAGTCAGGGAGGGGACCGCGAAGGCAGCGAGCTGGGCACCTGGGATGCAGCTGCCCTGGGAAGCCTGGGGGGCAGGGAGCGGGGGAAGAACGGCGGCGGCGCCTTGGGACAGGCAGCCAGCGCAGCCCGGAGGTCTGATCATTGCTGCCGGGTCTCCCCCCACATTCCTCCTCTGCGGGCGGAACACTGCAGTTTCACACAACATAGTGAAGCATGGACGGAACTTGCTCCTCCGCTAGGGTGCGCTCTGTACAAGGGGGTAATGGCATAGTGCCTTGAGGGGGACACTGTAGCGGCCAGTTTCCGTCCTCCGCCCCCACCCCCCACCTTCCGGCCACAGTCCCTCCCCTGGTTCAGGAAGCCCACGCCTGCCTTGGAATGTCCTCACTCCTGCCCACCGCCTTTCCCAATCCCATCCGCCTTCCAGGTTCCGCCCAAATCGCGCTTCCTAATTGAAATGCTCCTACTAATAACAATTGTTACAGTTATTATTAGGAAACATTATTGTTATTACGTATTGACAACGCTGTGTAGATGCCAGTTTTGCATACATATTCTCCAGTACTCAAAACAACCTGTTAAGGCAGTTTCTCTGGGTACTGATTCCAGAATCCCTAAGAGGCTTAATTGACAATGTAACAGTCCTTCCCCACCCCACCCCACCCCCGCCATACCGAGGATTGAACCCAGAAGCTTAACCACTGAACCACATCCCCAGCCCTTTATTTTTTATTTATTTTTTAAATAAGTCCTCACTAAGTTGCTGAGGCTGGCTTTGAACTCACAATCCTCTTGCCCCAGCCTCCCAAACCGCTGAGATTACAGGCTGCCAGTAAATGTAGCATCCTTGAGCTCTATCTACCTCAGGGGTATTGAATGGGCTGGGTGCTGCTGGGGAAGTTCATCTTTTACTCCCCTTGGAGCAGGATATTCTGATGCATCACTGTCTCTTTACTATACCATTTTGCAGCTAAGAAGACTAATACTCACTAGAACCTCCTAAGCCCATGCCTTTTATACCCCACCACCCCTCCAACACTGTGACTGGGGACTTGTTTTGTACTGAGATTTGCTTATGTGCAGGGGTGCTCCCTCCTGTCATGTTAAATGTAGCTTTAAAGTCATCTCTAAATGTCTACCTGGTCCAGTTTTGTCTCCCAGAGAACAGGGACTGTACTTTGGCCCTTTCTACTCAAAGAGGTAGCATTCCAGGGCCTGAAGGTACAAAGGAAACACGGGACTACTTTTTTTGTTTCTCTTGGGAGTCGTTTCCAAGACCACACAGACACCTTGGAATGCAATGAAATAGCAAAACTTAGGAATCAAAAAAAAAAAAAAAAATCTGACATTCAAAAAAAATCATGTCTTTCTTCATAACTTTATTTGGGGTGGGGATACTAGGGATTGAACTCAGAGGCACTAAGCCACATCCCCAGCCCTTTTCTGTATTTTATTTTGAGACAGGGTCTCACTGAATTGCTTAGCTCCTTGCTTCTGCTGAGGCTGGCTTAGAACTCTCCATCCTCCTGCGTCAGCCTCCTGAGCCACTGGGATTACAGGCTAGCGCCACCACGCAGCACTTTTTTCTTCTTCTTTTTTTTTTTTTTTTCAAAATCACCAGGTAGGTGTTGTACATCTGTAATCCCAGAGACAGGCGGCTAAGGCTGGAGGATTGCAAGGTCAAAGCTAGCCTCAGCAACTTAGTGAGGCCCTAAGCAAAGGAACAAAAAAAGAGGGCTGGAGATGTGGCTCAATGGTTAAGCACTCCTGGGTTCAATCCCCAGTACCAAAATATTAATTAAAATTTAAAAATCACTGCCCAAAATTTATGATGGGCAAAATGCTCACGTCTTAATGGAAGATTCAATATTATGATTTTTCTTTTTCCTTCAGGATTCAATACAGTCTTGCATAGCTCTGGAATATAGCCTTTCTTTCCTTTTTATTAGTTGTTGGTAGCCCTTTATTTATTTATTTTTTATGTGGTGAATCGAACCCAGTGCCTCACACATTCTAGGCAAGCACTCTACCATGAGCCACAACCCCAACCCCTGGAATACAGCCATTCTTAAAATTATGATAGTTTGAGCTGGGCATAGTGGCACACATCTGTAATTCCAGTGGCTCAGGAGGCTGAGGCAGGAGGATCTCGAGTTCAAAGCAAGCCTCAGCAAAAAAAAAAAGCGAGGCATTAAGCAACTCAGTGAGACCCTTTCTCAAAATAAAATACATAATAGGGTTGGGGATGTGGCTCAGTGGCCGAGTGCCTCTGAGTTCAATCCCTAGCATCCCCCCAAAAATTATGATAGTTTGGGTTGGGGATATAGCTCAATGGTAGAGCACTTGCCTAGCATGCATTAAGTCCTGGGTTTGATCCCCAGCACCACCAAAAAAAAAAAGATATTTTGTTTATTGAATTTTTTCTTTTGCTTTAATTTTGATTCTTGCCGGGCACAGTGGTACACACCTAGGATCCCAGTGGCTCAGGTATCTGAGGCAAGAGGATTGCAAGTTCAAAGCCAGCGGCAACAACTTAGGAAGGCCCTAAGCAATTCAGTGAGACTCTGTCCTATAAATAAAATATGAAAAAGGGCTGGATATGTGGTTCAGTGGTTAAGCGCCCCTGGATTCAATCCCTGGTACCAAATACAAATAATAAAAAATTTAAAATAAATAAAAATAAAATATATTTTCAATTGATTGTATTAAAAATCGTTTCTCTTGCCAGGCACAGTGGTGCATGCCTGTAATCACAGCAGCTCAGGAGGCTGAGGCAGGAAGATCAGAATTTCAAAGCCAAACTCAGCAACTTAGCAGGGGCCTTCAGCAACTTAGTGAGACCCTATCTCAAAAAATAAAAAGAGCTGGGGGTGTGGCTGAGTGGTTCTGTGCCCCCGGATTCAATCCCTGATACAAAAAAAAAAAAAAAATTTGTTTCCTTGATTACTGAGTTTTTGGTGCCTGCTTATGTTTTGTCCTTCAACCGAGTGTCCCACTGGTCTCCCGTGAGTCCTGCTGTATGACAGTCCCCTCTTCTGCTGAGTGAAGTGGTTCACAATGACCAAGGCAAGAGGCAGCAAGGTCAGGGCTACCCACCAAATTCCCTACATCCCCTCTGGGTCTGGACATGGATATCATTTTTACATCTCTGCAGAGGAAGGTGGGAAACCTTTGCCCAGCCTTGGAGAATTCCTGTTCTTGCTGCTTCTCCCTGCCTTAACAGGTGACAAACCCTAAATTGGCAAGACAGAGGTCAAAGCAGACAAACTGCATTCAAAGAGTTCACAGCCTTCTTGTGGTGACAGGGAATTTGCTTAGGAAATGACCACATTTGGGGACACGTACAATACTGGGCCACATAACTATACACTGAGCAATTTCTCCAGTGCTTGGAATGAATGACAGCTGGAAGAAGCACACATGTCCCTATTCTTTTGACTAAACCTAGTTCCCAGAGGGCACACTGGGAATGGCTTCACCATTTCTTTTTTTTTGGTGGGGAGGGCAGGTACTGGGGATTGAACTCAGGGGCCCTTGACCACTGAGCCACATCCCCAGCCTTATTTTTAATTTTTTTTTGTATTTATAGATGGTCAGAATGCCTTTTATTTTATTAGTTTACTTTTATATGGTACTGAGGATTGAACCCAGTGCCTCATGCATGCTAGGCAAGCGCCCTGCAACTGAATTACAGCCCCAGCCCCCCCTATTTTCTATTTTATTTAGTCTCACTGAGTTGCTTATGGTCTTGCTAAGTTGCTAAGGCTGGCTATGAACTCATGATCCTCCTGCCTCAGCCTCACAAGCTGCTGGGATTACAGGCATGCACCACCGAGCTTGGTGGCTTCACCATTTCTGCTAAGGCCCTTTCTTTCATTGGTGTCCCCAGCCCAGTGCTCTCCCATGTCTCAGAAGTGCAAATCCAAACACTCCTTATCTTGTGCAGCCCAGTCCTATCCCCAAACTGAAATACCATCACTGGACACCACTCCTCCTTCCTAACCCCCTTCCATCACTTGTCCCTTTTCCAGCAGTAACATAAGGAGTCCCCAGATTCTGCTCCTTTGAGGCTCTGTGCATCCCTCAGTCAAAACCTCTTCCCAACTCCTAAAATCATTGTTTGGGCCACTGTGAGTAGCCAAAAGTACTCAGGAGGCTAACGTCAGAGGATTGTTCAAGGCCAGCCTGGGAAACAGCAAGATCTTGTCTCCA